GTTGAGGAAGCATTCAACTTAGAGGATAGCCACAGTATAAGTCACCAATGACTGCCAATGCACAGCATTAAAATAATTGGGGCTAAAGACATGGAAACAACCTAAATGTCCATCGACAGATGAATGGATAAAGAGGATGTGGTGTGTGTGTATATATATATAATATATATGAATATTACTCAGCCATAAAAAAGAATGAAATAATGCCATTTGCAGCAATATGGACGGTCTGAGAGGTTATCATACTATGCGAAGTAAATCAGAATGAGAAAGACAAATACCGTATGATATCACTTATATGTGGAATCTAAAATATGACACAAATGAACATATCTATGAAACAGAAACAGACTCACAGACATAGAGAACAGACTTGTGGTTGCCAAGGGGGAGGGAAGGACTGGGGGGTTGGGATTAGCAGATGTGAACTCTTATATACAGGATAAATAAATAAGGTCCTACTGTATAGCACAGGGAATTATACTATAACTATATCTCAATACTGAGATAAACCATAATGGAAAAGAATATGAAAAATTATATACATGTATAACTGAGTCACTTTGCTGTACAGCAGAAATTAAACACAATATTGGAAATCAACCATATTTCAATAAAATTAAAAAGAAATAATCTGGACTACTTTACTATTAGAAGAACAAAGTGGCTGCCATGAATTAAAATTACATTCACATGGTTCAGCCTCGGTGTTAATGCTTTGGTTGTTGCTGTGATTACTGCCCTCCTTCCATCCCTCCCTGTAGGCACACAACTGTAATAGATGTTTTCCCCACTCAACAGTTTCTCCTGAATGAATGAATCAAAGAATGATTTGGTAATCTTCGAACATTCCACTGAAATGAATATCAAAATATTTAATTAGTTAACATATTCAAGCACTGAGTTTTAATTAAGAAGACACCGAGCTGCAAAACATTTATGAACAAATTAAAGCAACAATGCCTAAGGAACCAAAATGAGAGTCATTTGAATTACAAAAACGTGATTGAGTCTCAAGCCACAGCCCATTAGAAGGTATAAAACATCATTAATGAGGGTTACTGCACACAGCAGATTATATATAAGACATACATCACAAGAGTAAAATCACAGACAGAATTTTTGTTAGTGCAAGAAAAGCACCACAGTTAGTGTAAAACTCATTCTTTATTTAGAGTTGCTCTTTTACTGCCAAATTATTAGGGTTTTCTCTGTTGGACTCTGTCTGCATGTAATAAACAGTGGGGAGAAGACGAGAGAGAAATGAGGTGATTCTAAATGAGTAAAAGAAAATTAAGCTTTTCCCTGTCTTATTAAAGAAAAAAAATTGAATCCATGAACAGACATTAAAATTCTGTCCTAGGTGCTAGTTTACTGGCTGGAATGATGGAATTTGTGTTCTTCCCGGCCATCTCAGGATTTAAATAATTTTATGTGACAGAGCTGATGCGCTGATCGATAAAAAGACAACAATCATTTACACTGAGAGTTTAGTGCAATTTCAAGAATCCGCATTAACCAAGCTGAGTGTTTGTAGTGGAATCAGTATACAAGCACCTCACTTAGTAAAGTGCCTCAGTGAAGTATGACTGAATTTTCAACACCAATGAATATGGATTAAAGAAAAATCAAATCAATCAAAAGAATGGGTTTTTTGCAATCACACAATGACAGTATTTTTGAACACATAATTCTGTGCAAAATCCAGGAAAGCCAACAGATGTTCACTTCCATTTCTTCTTCGAGTGTTTATCTCACCATTTGGGAAAAGCTTTCTTGTATTGCAGTTGATTACATGTGCATTTTGCAAATTTCCAGATGTGTTCAAATGTTTCAATCTACGTTATGGCTTTATATTTTAGGTCCCTATGAGTCCCTAATCAGAGTTCTTATTTCTCTAAACATTAAATGAAATTGAAAATTTTCATATACCCCATTTAGACTGAGAGTATTATGGACATTTTTTTCCCAAACTAGTCTTTCTAGATATATTGGTCTTCCATCTACTCAATAGATAATCAGTCACATTATGCTGTACTATAATAATGAATCCTTTGAAGAGAATATTCACTTTTCTCAAAAAAAATATTTTTGACAGGTGAGTTTGAGATAATTTCCTCTCTCAAATTTGTGCCAATAAAATTTACCCATTTTAAGACAAGCATCCTTCCAGTAAAGGTGGCATCTGTAGTGGATTTCCCTGTAATGCTTATTGAACTGTTTGCCACAAGAATTGATCTTGATTCTGGCATTGTAGATTTCCAGGATGGATATAGATAGTAAATTTGTTCATTTCAAGCTGCTAACATTGTAGAAGAGGGCATCATAGAGGCAGAATGCACAATGACCCCAGTCAATTCCAGGAATGCTTAGCCAGTAACAAGATGATGTTTCATAAAAGCAAAGCAGTGCTGAACTTGGAAAATCAGGCAGTATGACAGGTGTGAAAGAGCATGTGACATGATAAACTGAAATCTTCACAGAGTTAGAGCTGGGCCTGCTGAAATGATGTGAGACCTGCGTCTCAGACACCCTGACCAGCATCTGAATTTCTATTTTTATAGACATAAGAATACAAAGCCTGAGGATGTCTACAACTAACTAAGTAGTAAGGCTTCAAAGTCTCCAAAAACAACTAGAAAGGTGTAAAGGAAAAGAACAAAACCGTGCCTTAGCAAGGCAGGTGATGGAAAATATGGGTAGTCGTTTGGGACACAACTGACACTTTAAAAAGATAAGAAAAGGGTTTCTGGGGACAGGACTAACATGGATTGACCAAAGAAGTGTTATTTGAAAACTTAGACTTGGAAAGATCTATACAAAGATGAGGATGGCAATCCAACTGAAAGGGTTAGAAGGAAAGAAGCAACAAGAATAGAAAATGTGTGAAAGGAGTTTTTATGAGAATAAAGTAGAGTGTTGGAGAAATGGTTAGGGTTTCAGCTTCCTTCAGTTTGGAGGCTCTGAAAGTGAATGACCTCTACCCTCTCATTTCATCGAGATGCCTCTGTGGTAGAACCTGGACTCTTGTCCTAACGGCCTGTTTTGCTGAGTCTGGGCAACTCAAACTGGTCAGAAACAAATGATGTTCTCAAGGCCACGGTCAGAGCGTCAATTTTCATTTAATAATAATTCAGCTTTCTGGAGTGAAAAAGTCTGACCCGCGGCCACAGGTATGCTTGGGTCTTGGAAAGCCATCCAATGAGGGTGAGCCTGGGGTCATTCAGTTCGTGCAACCCCTCAGTGCCAAACAAATCAACCCAAAGGGCCTGGGCAGTGTCAGTGGCATCGCTTTTCTTGCAGAAATAATATCTCACATCTGGAACAGAGCTTTTACATATTTCAGAGTGTGCTCACTGCACCTACGAGTGGCGATCTGAAATCCCTTACATGGGCTACTACTTTGAGTAAGTCAGCAAACTAAAACTTGTTTCATATCATTTTGCAGGGTTTTCAAATAAAAGCTTCTGTGATTCTACCCTAATGTGAATTCTCTATCAACTAATGCTTGTCTGTTTTTCATCTTGAGTCTGTGAACTGAAACTTACATATCTTATCAGGCAGAAAGAAGTCCAATGGATCCGCCTTGGATACTGTAGTGAAAACGTGATCAAAGAGAGGCCAGGTTTCAAAAGGTTAATGCAATAAAATTCTACAAAAGGCACAGGGAAAGGAACCCCACCCCCGGCCCTGTAGCCTTAATTGTGAACGTAAACGTTTCCTTGGAGAACGCTATTCAAAGGAATAGGTTATTTTCAAGGGAATCTACTCTGTTAGTACAAAATATCTGAATCCCTCTGAAACAAGTAGAAATTTCATTTATATAGATTAATGAGCTTATGACAAGTTCATACTAAAGAGTTATTCAGGCATTCCTTTGCTCCTTCCTACGAAGAATAAATTTATTTTATTCATTCACGGTAAAAGTTATACTTTGTAATTTCTTAGCTATATAAATCATCACACGATGAGAAATGAGGCCTACATCATGGTAATAAACTTAAATCTGTTCAAATAAAGACTTCACAATCATCTTTCCAATCACCTGTTTCTTTAAAAAAACAGTTATACACCACATATTCAATTGAGAGATTAGCCAGTTTACTGAAGGTTAAGGACTTAAAACTCCCTGTAAACAAAACAAACAAAAGCACTCCATGAAAGTCCATTTAAGGAATAGGGCTCACCTGACCTTGGGTAACTAAATTACAGGGAGCAATTACCTTTTAGGAGGAAAGCCACCTCCGAAAGGACTGGGGTTTGTTTTTTTTACATCTTTATTGGAGTATAATTGCTTTACAATGGTGTGTTAGTTTCTGCTTTATAACAAAGTGAATCAGTTATACATATACATATGTTCCCATATCTCTTCCCTCTTGTGTCTCCCTCCCTCCCACCCTCCCTATCCCATCCCTCCAGGCGGTCACAAAGCACCGAGCTGACCTCCCTGTGTTATGCGGCTGCTTCTCACTAGCTATCTAGCTTACGTTTGGTAGTGTACATATGTCCATGCCTCTCTCTCACTTTGTCACAGCTTACCCTTCCCCCTCCCCATATCCTCAAGTCCATTTTCTAGTAGGTCTGTGTCTTTATTCCTGTCTTACCCCTAGGTTCTTCATGACATTTTTTTTTCTTAAATTCCATATATATGTGTTAGCATATGGTATTTGTCTTTCTCTTTCTGACTGACTTCACTCTGTATGACAGACTCTAGGTCTATCCCCCTCATTACAAATAGCTCAATTTCGTTTCTTGTATAAGGACTGGGGTTTTTGTTCCTTATCTTCAAAGAACAACCCACTTGCATCAGAATCAAACTCTTTACACAATACTTGATCACCCCACATCAAAACCCTATCCTTCCCCTCAGTCCTTTCTTTTACTTAGAGTTCATAAGGATATGGGTTTACATGTTGACTGAGGCCTGTAGCAAATCCCCAGAAAACACACGTGAGATGACTTCAGTTTTCACCTAAAACCACCCCTTCTCCGCTTGGTACCTGACAGGTGCGCCTCGGCTGTGTGCAGGCTTCAGCAGGACCGTCACCGTGTTGTCGGTTTGATTCAAGGGCGTCTCAAGTTCATAAGCCGGCATGGAGGGTGCTGGGGAAGATGTATGAGATAGGAGACTCATGATTTCTGGTTTGTCTTTTCCGTTTCCTTTCTACTTTCATTTACAATGAGCATTAAAAACACAGCACACTTAGTTTAAATTGCCTCTGTGAACCAACCACAAACAGCCTTTACGTATCTACCCAACCCTGAACATCAGGGACAGCTGTTAAAACCATCATGTGTTGACTTTGGTCTTGAGTTTAACCTAGGAGGGGGCACGAGGGGGGGCTTAGGAGGTGTTAGTAATACTGTTTCTCGATTCGGATTCTCGCTAAATGGGTGTAGCCATTACATCCATCCATACATGTACATCACTGTAATTAAATTGTAAAATAAATTTGTGTACTTTTCTGTACATATGCTTTTCTTAAAATATTAAATGCAAATTTAAAAAATAATTACTAGGATCATAAAACTGATCATTTCAGTTCTCCCATCTAAGTCAAGGTTTCTTGTGTACCAAATATCCATCCAGAGATTTGAAGAGGTCCTCAGGAGTCAGAGGGCCTGGCTGGACCTAGTGAGGCACCGGTGGGCTCTCTGGGAAAGCACAACCGAGGAAAAGATACTGAGTTGAAGTGAGAAAGGCTTGGGTTTGACTTTCTGTTGCCTTTTGTTTCGACCAGCATGAGAGCTTAGGCACGGTAATTATCTCTGAAGCTTCAGTTAACTCATCTATCAAAATAGGAGAAATTACCCTCCAGGGTTATTACGGGAATTCAAAGAGATAATAGATAAAGACAGACGGGCAAATCTAGTTCTACAAACGTCAGCCCTCTTCCCAGGGCGGATCCCATTTCCAAGGCCATTTCCTGGCAGTCTTTGCTTTCTAGACTGTTCAGCTTGTTACTAGAAGATAACAGCTCTTCGGTAATTCTGTCATCACGGTGCACAAGAGACATCGCCGCACGAAGGCTATGACCCCGGCCGCAGAGGCACCGGCCTTTGTAAGGCCCTCAGGTCGGGTCCCTCATGAGGACAGTAGAGGCCAGTTTAGCGAGTATCGTTTTTTAAATCTCTTACATACAAGAAGCTTTTATGTAAAAGACATGGGTTATAGCTCAGGTCCATTCAATGGATCTTCTCAGCATTAAAATTAGCTCTAATTCTGTTAAAAATTAACTCCAGTTCATAACACAGAGCTACATTTGGGATAGAGAGTAGTTCTCTGAGGTCCATGGAAGTAGAAAATAGGGGCCCAGAATCCGTAATTTCTTTGAACCATAAAAATCAAATAGTTATTCTTGATGAGCCTTTGCAGGCTAACTAAAATGTCAGCTGGCTTTGCTTCGGGATAGAACTGTTGAACTTGGTGGGCTAGGAGCGGCCAGACTCACACCAACCAGAATTTTTATCTAATACAAATGGTAAAAATGAATGATTTTTTCTAAAAGAATAGCCTCTTTAAGATAATAATCGTTGAAATATGGCTTCCATAGGGAGAAATTACCAAAAAAGGGGCTTGGAGGTATGTACACTGGCACACATTACCTCTTTAAACAGATAATATCATCTTAATTTACATCCCGGGGTAAATTCACTTGATCAAGATCAGAGAAAAAGCCCTGGGAAAAATTATAACTAGAACTCATATTTTCTGATTCCAGGCCCAGTGGTCTTTCTACTCAGGCATCTATACAACTTATGTCATTTTCCTAACCTCTGAAGTATCCTTCCTCTTTTCCAACTCTCCATGTTGTTTTTACAAGCTAATGTCTTATATCAAACATCAAGTGTCTATTAAATTTCAAGTTAAGTTTGTGCTCATAAATTAACTCTTACACAATGCAAAGTTATCCCTTAAGTTATAATTGCTTAAAAACAAAATTCCAAACCTCACTTCTCCCTCAAAACCTAGTAGAAGCCTTAGAGTACTTGTGCTGTATTTCCTTCCCTTCCTTCAGTCCTAAAGAAAATCTCTCGCAGAACTAGGGATGAGGGACAACAGATATAAAAATCAGGCTAAGTATTACTTAGCTGACCCTGACTGATGAGAAGTTACTCTATCACCTGCCTCCTGCTCTTCTACCCCCAACCAAAACAGCCACAGCCCAAACTCAAATACTGCCCTACTCGGATCCAAAGGGGAAAACATGGAAAAGGAAAGATGTCCCCTGGAACTGTGTTTATTGCTGCTGCATATCCCACACCAGATGGCAACTCCATTTCCTCTAGTCTGAAGCACAAAGACATTTTCTGCACAGTTGCACATGCCCAGAAATATTTCCCAAATTATGTCCTTTGTTGGATGGTGTAATTGAGTCTACAAGAAACAAGCTGGCGGATGTAAGTGCTTGGTGCCCCCCCTCTGTAGTAGCCTCTCTCTTGAGGACGTGAAACTACTAACTGTGAAGGTCCCACGGAAGGCTGAGCCTTCTGGAAGGGACTCCACATAACGCTGCCTTTCTGCTGAGCACTCCCTCGTGAGAGACCTCGCTATGGAGACTTTCCCGACACTGCTGCTCTGGGAACTTGGGACTGCGAAGGGCTGAGGGTGCTGGGAACAGCATCTCCCGCTCATGTCCGAGTTCTCCGACACACACTCTTAAAACAGTGCCTACCTCCTGACGCAGGACGACGATCCGAAGCTCCCAAATGATAAACATTTTCAGCGTTTCATTGAATTCCATAAGTCCGATTTTCATACTTACAAAAATATGAATTTACGTGTACGTTTGGGTGAGCTCTGCAGACTTGACAATGGGAATGAGAAAGTACCCAAATGCTACTTCTGATATAAGACACAGCTCATGAATGTACGATACCTGATATTTTGGTGGTGAACTGATTTGTTGCCGGGGGTCCAAAACCCTTAGCCGTGCTAGCTCGGATGGTGAAGGAGTATGTGGTTCCTGGATACAGTCCGAAAAACAGAAAGTGGGTTTCATTTCCCAGTTTTGAAACTCTTCCACTTTGATTGGATAGATCTATTTCTGGGTCAAAGGAACTGACTGCCTTGTAGGTGATCTGTAAGACAAGACGGATGTGATGAAATACCTGAGGCAGATCGACCGAGACTGCATCTTTATCCAATAAGCCCTCCTGATGTATGCACTGTCAGACGCTTTATGATAAGCTGTCCTGCTCCCCTAGACTCTTCAAATCCTGGATCCAGTGAACGGGCACAGGAACTCAGCCAAAACTGTGATGAGTTATTACTTTTATAGACAGAGGAACTGCAAGCCAGTAGATGAGAACATAAAGAATGAGTTCAGGTTTAAGCTAATACCTTGAAGTTGTTTGCTTTCAAAGTGTCTTGTTGGAAAACTACATTACAGCTGGCTTAAAACAAAATAACAAAATAGACAATCAGCTCAAACAGATAAGGACCTGACAAGGGGAAGGCCTCATCTCTCATCCAGGGGCCAGAGTCTGATTTTGCCCTGAATAGGATTATCGTATGCTGGTAACAAGGGCACTTTTAAGCGTTTTCCTTAATGTGGGCAAAGATACCTCTCCAAAAATAAATCCTAGATGCGTGTCAGCAGCCCTTAATGCTGTGACTGTGGTGTTTGCGATATGTCCTATTTACTTTTTTCTTTAGAGCAATGCTGTCCAATAGGACTGTCAGGATGGGAAAGTTCTATTCTGCACTATTCAATGTGGTGGCCCCTAACCACAAGTGGCCACAGAGCACTAGAAACATGGCCGGTGAGATGGCAGAACTGAAAAATTTACTTCATTTTATTATTATTTTTAAAAATCATTAAAAAAAATTGAAGTTACTTGATTTACAATGTTGTGTTAGTTTCAGGTATACAGCGAAGTGATTGTATAATTAAACATACATATATACATATTGTTTTCCAGATTCTTTTCCATTACAGGTTATTACAAGACACTGAGTATACTTCCCTGTGCTATACAGTAGGTCCTCGTGGGTTATCTATTTTATATATAGTAGTGTGTATATGTTCATCCTAAACTCCTGATTTATCCCTCCCTCCCTTCCCCCTTTGGTAACCATAAGTATCTCTTCTATGTCTGTGAATCATTTTATTTTAATTAACTAAAATTTAAATTTAAATTGCTCTGAATGACTAGGAGTTTCCATTTTGGACACAGTGCAATTCTGGAAGCTTTATGTTTGCCACATGACAGGTGTTCAAATCACCCTGGATGGGTCTGGATTGTGTGAAAATAAATATAACATAGGTGTCTTTAAATTATGCCCTTTCAAATGATGTTTTAAAAAATTTCACTCTAGGGCTTCCCTGGTGGCGCAGTGGTTGGGAGTCCGCCTGCCGATGCAGGGGACATGGGTTCGTGCCCCAGTCTGGGAAGATCCCACATGCCGTGGAGCGGCTGGACCTGTGAGCCATGGCCGCTGAGCCTGTGCGTCAGAGCCTGTGCTCTGCAACGGGAGAGGCCACAACAGTGAGAGGCCCACGTACCGTAAAAAAAAAAAAAAAAAAAATTTCACTCTAAGTAGTTCATCAACTCTTCAGGAACATGCATTTTAGGGGTGATTACTAATTTCTCCTCCTTGTAAAGGCATAATTTTTAAATGTGGCATATTCAAAAGTTTTAAATTGCAAAACTGAGCACTTTTCTTGCTTTTAGATAGGTTAAAGTTACTGATAATTTATGTGCATGAACACTAACACTGTTATTATACCAACTGATAATTGACATTCTTTCTTCTTACATTTACAGCATGTCATTATAATTAAGGAGACCTCTCTGAAAGAATATTTAGATTGAGTCAACTATGCTTTGGCAAGAAAATGTTTGCTGTATATATTAATCACCGCCGTGCATGACACCATCAGAGTCAGGCAGCAGATCTGCTGTTAACCCTCTCATGGGCTTCCCTCATGAGGTTCCTCTGAGTCAAGAGACAAGACCACGTCCACCAGCACCTGCTGTCGGGGGAATTCAATGTCACTGCTATGCGCTTAGCTGCACACTTTGAACTCCATCCTGAGAGCTCCAGAGAAGAGGTAGAGAAGGCAGATCTAACCTGTGACAACATAACTGCTTCTTCAAATTTATGAATTCCCTCATTCACAGCATCTTCACTGCATGTCTCTTGTGTGCCAAGCACCGTACTCTGGGCTGGGGTCTCATGTGGTGATTCAAACACAGTACCTGCCGGGAGGAAGGTAGCAGTCTGGTGGTAAGGGGAGACCCAACCCAGCAGTGAGGATGCAGTATAATTAGCATAAGGACTGGCCTTATGAAAAACTTCAATGCGATACAAACGCGTACGGGACAAAGTTCAAACTTCTGAGCTCCGCGCTTAAGACTTGCCTACACCTTCTTCTCTAAACTTCTTTTTTTTTCTTTTTTTTTTTTAACATTTTAATTGGAGTATAATTGCTTTATAATGGTGTGCTAGTTTTTGCTGTATCACAGAGTGAATCAGCTACACGTATATATATATCTCCATATCTCCTCCCTCTTGTGTCTCCCTCCCACCCTCCCTATCCCACCCCTCTAGGTGGTCACAAAGCACCGAGCTCATCTCCCTGTGCTATGCAGCTGCTTCCCACTAGCTAGCTATTTTACATTTGGTAGTGTACATATGTCCATGCCACTCTCTCACTTTGTCCCAGCTTACCCTTCCCACACCCTCAAGTCCATTCTCTATGTCTGCATCTTTATACCTGTCCTGCTCCTACGTTCTTCAGAACCTTTATTTTTTTTAGATTCCATACATATGTGTTAGCATACGGTATTTGTTTTTCTCTTTCTGACTTACTTTACTCTGTATGACAGTCTCTAGGTGCATCCACCTCACTACAAATAACTCAGTTTCGTTTCTTTTGATGGCTGAGTAATATTCCATTGTATATTTGTGCCACACCTTCTTTATCCATCTGTGAATGGACACTTAGGTTGCTTTCATGTCCTGACTATTGTAAATAGAGCTGCAATGAACATTGTGGTGCATGACTCTTTTTGAATTATGGTTTTCTCAGGGTATATACCCAGTAGTAGGATTGCTGGATCATATGGTGGTTCTACTTTTAGTTTTTTGAGGAACCTCCATACTCTTCTCCATAGTGCCTGTATCAATTTACATTCCCAACAACAGTGCAAGAGGTTTCCCTTTTCTCCACACGCTCTCCAGCATTTACTGTTTGTAGACTTTTTGATGATGGCCATTCTGACTGGTGTGAGGTGATACCTCATTGTAGCTTTGATTTTCATTTCTCTAATGATTAGTGATGTTGAGCATCCTTTCACGTGTTTACTGGCAATTTGTATATCGTCTTTGGAGAAATGTCTATTTAGGTCTTCTGCCCATTTCTGGATTGGGTTTTTTCTTTTTTTGATATTGAGCTGCATGAGCTGCTTGTATATTTTGGAGATTAATCCTTTGTCAGTTGCTTCATTTGCAAACATTTTCTCCCATTCTGACGGTTGCCTTTTTGTCTCATTTATGCCGTGCAAAACCTTTTAAGTTTCATTATGTCCCATTTGTTTATTTTTGTTTTTCTTTCCATTTCTCTAGGAGGTGGGTCAAAAAGAATCTTGCTGTGATTTATGGCATAGAGTGTTCTGCCTATGTTTTCCTCTAAGAGTTTTATAATATCTGGCCTTACATTTACGTCTTTAATCCATTTTGAGTTTATCTTTGTGTATAGTGTTAGGGAGTGTTCTAATTTCATTCTTTTACATGTAGCTGTCCAGTTTTCCCAGAAACAATTATTGAAGAGGCTGTCTTTTCTCCATTGTATATTCTTGCCTCCTTTATCAAGGATAAAGTGACCATAGGTGCATGGGTTTATCTCTGGGCTTTCTATACTGTTCCATTGATCTATATTTCTGTTTTTGCACCAGTACCATACTGTCTTGATTACTGTAGCTTTGTAGTATAGTCTGAAGTCCAGGAGCCTGATTCCTCCAGCTCTGTTTTTCTTTCTCAAGATTGCTTTAGCTATTCGGGATCTTTTGTGTTTCCATACAAATTGTGAAATTTTTTGTTCTAGTTCTGTGAAAAATGCCATTGGTTGTTTGATAGGGATTGCACTGAATCTGTAGATTGCTTTGGGGGGTATAGTCATTTTCACAATGTTGACTCTTCCAATCCAAGAATATGGTATATCTCTCCACCTATCTGTATCATCTTTAATTTCTGTCATCAGTGTTTCATACTTTTCTGCATACAGGTCTTTTGTCTCCTTAGGTAGGTTTATTCCTAGGTATTTAATTCTTTTTGTTGCAGTGGTAAATGGGAGTGTTTCCTTAATTTCTCTTTCAAATTTTTCATCATTAGTGTATAGGAATTCAGGAGATTTCTGTGCATTAATTTTGTATCTTGCAACTTTACCAAATTCACTGATGAGCTCTAGTAGTTTTCTGGTAGCATCTTTAGGATTCTCTATGCATAGTTTCATGTCATCTGCAAATAGTGACAGTTTTACTTCTTCTTTTCTGATTTGGACTCCTTTTATTTCTTTTTCTCTTCTGATTGCTGTGGCTAAAACTTCCAAAACTATGTTGAATAATAGTGGTGAGACTGGGCAATCTTGTCTTGTTCCTGGTCTTAGAGGAAATGCTTTCAGTTTTTCACCATTGAGAACAATATTGGCTGGGGGTTTGTCATATATGGCCTTTATTATGTTGAGGTAAGTTCCCTCTATGCCCACTTTCTGGAGGGTTTTTATCATAAATGGGTGTTGAATTTTGTCGAAAGCTCTTTCTGCATCTATTGAGATAATCATATGGTTTTTATCCTTCAATTTGTTAATATGTTGTATCACATTGATTGATCTGCATATATTGAAGAATCCTTGCATTCCTGGGATAAACCCCACTTGATCATGTGTATGACCTCTTAAATGTGCTGTTGGATTCTGTTTGCTAGTATTTTGTTGAGGATTTTTGCATTTACATTCATCAGTGATACTGGCCTATAGTTTTGTTTTTTTGTGACATCTTTGTCTGGTTTTGGTATCAGGGTGATGGTGGCCTTGTAGAATGAGTTTGGGAGTGTTCCTCCCTCTGCTATATTTTGG